AAAACCAGACATTGTGGCTCATGCCTGTAATTCCAGCTACTTGGGAGGCTAAGGTGGGAGGGTCACCTGAGCCTGAGAGGTTGAGGCTGCAGTGAGCCGTGATTGCACCGGTGCACTCCAGCCTGGGTGACAGAGTGAGACTTTGTCTCAAAAAAATTAAATTAAATTAAATTAAATAAGTGGAAGGAGGGAAAGGGTGGGGAGAGCAAAAAAAGTTCAAGGTAGCCAGTTGAGAGCTGGGCTCCAGGGATGAGGTGTCCCCTCCAGATGGGGAGCAGGTTGGGGTCAGGCCTGCAGCCGCAGACTCAACTTTGTTCCCCTTTGCACAGCTGACTACCAGATTCTATGCGGAAACCAGGCCCCGGGATTCCTCATTGACATCCACACGCGGAAGCCCCTTGGTGAGTGAGCAGTTCCTGCTCCATCCCTGGGCACCCATCCACCTGGGTCTGCTTCTTCCCACCCCTCCCCTCCCCTATAGCTCTTTTCCTTACATCCATTCCTCCATCCTCCCCTCTTCCTCCTCCCACACACCTCCAACTCCCCAGGAATCCTGCCCTCAAAAACACCTTTTTTTTTTTTTTTTTTTTTAAGAATGACACTTTAAAATTTTTATTAAACCGTTATCCATTTTTTAAAATGATGGTTAAATATATGCAACATAAAATTTACCTTTCTAGCCATGCGCGGTGGCTCATGCCTGTAATCCCAGCACTTTGGGAGGCCGAGGTGGGTGGATCAGGAGTTCGAGACCAGCCTAGCCAACATGGTGAAACTGTCTCTACTAAAAATACAGAAATTAGCTGGCATGGTGGTGCGTGCCTGTAATCCCAGCTATTCGGGAGGCTGAGGCATGAGACTCACTTGAACCGGGGAGGCAAAGGCTGCAGTGAGCCGAGATCCGCTGCACTCCAACCTGAGGGATAGAGTGAGACTTTTTTTTTTTGGTCTCCAGAAAAATACCATTTGAACCATTTTCAAGTGCACAGTTCAGTGGCATTAAGTACATTTGCATTGTTTTGCAACTATCACCATCGTCATCTCCAGAACTTTCTCATTTTCTCCCACTGAAACTCTGCCCCCATGAAACTCTCACTCCCCATTCCCCTCAGTCCCTGGAACCCACCATTCTCCTTTCTGACTCTGAATCTAACAGTTCTAGGGACTCCCTGTGAGTGGAACCACAGGATCTGTCCTTTTGTGTCAGGCTTATTTCACTGAGCATGATGTCCTCAAGGTGCATCTGTGTTGCAGTTTGTGTCAAATTGCTCCCCGCCCC